ATGGAATCCAAGATGGTGACTCAGTATCAACATCCAAGTTATAATTGTTGGAAAGATCAATTGCTGTTAATTGGGAGAAATTAGCAAAGATAGAGAAGGAGAGCTCTCCAGAAAACTGGTTATTTGAAAGATCAAGGGACTCTAGTGAAGTTAGGTTGTTGAAAATCCAAGGAGCAATGTTGCTTGTAATTTGATTATCAGAAAGATCCAATAATTGTAAGTTCCTCAATTGATAGAGCCCTGTAAAGAAAATATAAGAGACATATCCATAAGTATGAAGATGTATTATACTATATTTCATATAACAAACTAGCATTTCTCAATCAACTACGAGTTAGAGCTTTTCTTTCACTAAATGGCATGGCATTCATTATTGAGTACTATTAATTGGTCTCCATTCAAACCAATTTGCATATATAAAAGAAATTTTCAAATAAAAAGTAGGTAAGATTGATATAATTGGTACCTGTTGGTAAACTTGTAAGCTTGTTCCCTGACATGTCGAGTACTTCCAGTGAAGAGAGGTTATGCAAAAGGCCTGAGGGTAGGCCTTCATTGGTTATAGAATTGTGCCATAGATCCAATTCCTTGAGATTTTTGAGTCCACCCAATCCTGCAAATGTAAATGCACCACATATATATTAAACATTAATTATTGTAACTACGTAAACAGGGCTTAATTAAATAAGTGGATTTATTTATTAACAATCCACATCCGAAAATTTAATTTAATTAATTAAGAGAATATTCTTATTAATTACTGTAACTACGTACCTTTGAGAATAGCCGGTAAGCCTTTGAGATTATTAAATGATAAATCTAGCGTCTCCAATGAAGAGAGAAAATCTATTTAAGAACTTGGGTTGGATCAGGTTGGTCTCACCCAAGTCGCAATCCTACCCTATTTATGTTTCATGTAGTTGTTCACATCAACTTGCTCTCTTTTGCTTTCTAATTCCATTAGAATTTAGTGGTTTAAAAAAATCAAACATGGGTTGATTATAACAAAATCAGATTACTTGTAATGACTCCCAATTAACAGGGGCATCTGTTAACATCAGCCCATGCATCGCACCACTAGTAAATAAATATCACATATTCCTATTTCAAAGGTAATATTTTGCTGGAAAAAGAAAATGTGAGAACCTTTTATATATAATCCACAAAAAAAAAATTGCATATATGGAAGAAACTTTCAAATAAAGAGTCAAATAAGAAGAGGTAACATTGATATAATTGGTACCTGTTGGTAAACTTGTGAGTTTGTTTGAGTAAATTTCGAGTATTTCCAGTGAAGAGAGGTTATGCAAAAGGCCTGAGGGTAGGTCTTCATTGGTTAGAGAGTTACCGCCTAGACCCAATAGCTTGAGATTCTTGAGTCCACCCAATCCTACAAATGTAAATGCACCACATATATATTAAATATTAATTATTGTAACTACGTAAACAGGGCTTAATTAAATAAGAGAATTTATTTATTAACAACCCACATCCCATAATTTAATTAATTAAGAGAATATTCTTATTAGTGTGTATAATTAAAATCATTTGCAATTAATGAAGGATCCAAGATATATAAATAAGGGGAATACATGCTTGTTCGTGTATTAGTTATACCCTTTAGAAATGCTGAGGAAGCTTTGAGATTATTGTCTGATACATGAAGCCTTTCCAACGACGTCAAATTACGTAGGCATAGTAATGGTTTGCTATTACTTCCAATATCATCATCATCACCCAAATTGCTTCGAGAGAGGTCCAACTCTTTAAGATTGGTTGCTTGGCATAGTGCTGCAATAAAAGACATGACTAGTAGTAGTGTTATATCCCAATGCAATGCATATATGAACCCACAATTAAGATCAAATTAATTTATAAATTTTAATTTATACCATACCATTAACTACAACTGGTGACGAGGCATTGAGATTGAGATTTGCTAAATCCAGTGATTCAAGATTATGGAATAACTGGCACCCTGCTGGTACAAGTAGTAGTACACTTCCAATATCATCATCATTTCTCCATAGCGACAATCCTTTGACATTGGTGGCTTTGCATACATCTGCAAGCAATGAAAACAAATATTGAATTAATATTAATGTATGATAGAAATAATTCCTCTTTATACATATAAATATATAAATACATATAAACATACCGTTTAGGACACCGGGCCAGCCCTGGATGTTTTTGTTAGTGATAGATAAAACGAGATGAATTTGAATTGATGATGATGATGATGGTGAGCCAACATTCTTGTCGAATAGAAGGCAAGGGGGTAAGCTGTTATCACTTGGTTCGGTTATATATAGATATAGCGAGAGATTCCTGGCTCCACATAATGCTAAGACATACACCATGCACCAAAAACAAATTAAATATAATTAATTAAGCAAATCAATACTTAATTAATGCATAATTACTTACCTGTTAATAGTGATGAAGAAGACATATTACGTTGATTAATTGATAAGGATACTGCTTCTAAGGAAGGAAGAGCACGCCCTAGACAGCCAGGGAGTCCATCATGGCCAAGATCGTTCGCCGTCAGATCCAATTCTTTAAGATTGCGTAGTTGACACAATGCTGTGCAAGCCATGCAAATAGATAAATATCCTTAAATTACGCATTATTAATTCTCTTAACAACAAATTAATTATTTGAAATTTAATTTGAAGCACAAAGATTGAACCCGAGTAGAATTAATTATTTGTTCTGGAATATGGAATATGTATCTAATCCACCAACAGTTGGCCTCCATAAATAATTAAATAATGAAAAATATCGATCATTAATTAAACCCACAAGAGCATTATACTTTAATTCTATTACGGACTGGGAGTAGGAGAAGCAAAATAATACTAATTAGTAATTACCTTGTGGCATAATCCAACCTCCAATGTTGTTATCAGATAGATCTAGGAATTGCAGGTGTTGGAAGTGAGTGAAAATGGTGGCATTTGGGTACCATTTTCCTACWGCACCTGTAGTGTATTCCATTTCACCTTGAATATTAATTCGAATCACGACCGGGGATGTTGAAGAAGATGATTCATCACATTCCACCCCTCCCCATTCACAACAATTGTCTCCAACCCACGTATACATTTTGGAGAATGGATTTGTAGGATGGTTATTATTGAGTAGCGAGTCTCTGAGTTGTAAGAGAGCCATCCTTTCCTCCTCCAAACAGTAGGAGTAGCCTTCGTGGCCTTGGCCTTGGCATAATAATCCACCACCAAAGTAATTAGAGAGAAGAAGAAGAAG